CTGTGTCAACCCCGGGCGTGCAACTTCCAAGCGCTACTGCACCTCTGAGACAACGACGGCCTCATCAAGTGTTCCGCCTCTGCCTCAAATGAAGAAGATGAGTGCGTCCAAGCCCAAGCCAAGGACCAAGTCTGTGACAGAGATGTCTGCCAAGGAATTCTGGGAGAAGCGTCGGCGCAACCCCTATGAGGTCGTTCAAGAACCCGCCTTGGTCAACCGCCCATTCTGGAACCGTTTCTAGTATGCCATCTACTTTGATGTGATCAAAGCCTAGAAGAATATTTTTGTTGATGTTCGCTCCATCGACATTGCCTTTATGGAGAAGGATCCTGACTACTTTGGGGAGGCTCTTCAGATGTGCTCTCAGTTGAACATCCTCAGGATCATGCAGTTCAACAAGGACTTTGATGCAGATTTGGTGGCTCGGTTTTATGCTACCGTCCATCTTGGAACAAATGAGGACAGGACTCTAACTTGGATGACAAATGGCAGGATGCTTTCTGTCAAGTGGAAGGCCTTCATGGAGCTTCTTGAAGTTGAGGATCAAGGTCTTGAGAACCCAGATGGCTTTCGCCCTCATCGCAATGCAACTTCCACTCACAAGCAAGCTCTCTAGCCATACTGTACCTTGAAGATTAACCCAGTGACTCAGAAGGAGTCCTATGAGCTACCAGCATTTCTGGATATTCTCCATCGCATCTTCAGGGAGACCCTCTTCCCTCGCATTGGCAACTTGGATATGGTACACTCTTTTCTTGTGGACATGCTTCTTTTCTGTCAACATGAGAAGGAAGAAAACACTGGAGACTCTTTGGATATCTCTCATGTCATGTGGTCTGAGTTGGTTTCCGCCATCTCTGAGCGCAAGTGCCCTATCTATGGACCGTTTATCATGTTGCTCATTGAGAAGGCCTGGGAGCGTGTGTATCCTAAGGTGGTGCTGGAGACTGGGGATCTAGTTTCTCATGAGATCAAGTATCTGAGGAAGAAGGAGAATTGGGGCACCGCAACTCCGAGTTCTGGCGTTCCGCCTGGAGCTGCTCACATGGAGACCGAGGCTGATGCTGCTGATGATGATGACTATGAGCCATCTGGAGCAGAGCCCTCTTGGGCAAAGAAGCTCAAGCGCAAGATGAAGAAACTCTTCTGCATGGAGTCTCACGGTCAGTACATGAGTCATGTGGCTGAGAAGCAGGCCAGGAGTCGTCACAAGGAGCTCATGCGTCAGTTGGGTGCGACCGTTGCCAGCGGTTCTGAGGGCAAGATCACTGATGAGGAGGAGTGGATTCAGCAGCACTGTCCGTGGACCGATTCAGACACCAAGCAGTTTCCGACTAAGGATGACAGTGCAGACGATCCCGCCAGGATGTGATGATAGAGCCCCTCAGTTTGCTATCACTTGGAGCCTTAGCAGCGCTCTTTGCCTTTTTGGTGTCTCGATGCCAAAGGGGGAGAGAGCTTAGTGATTTGTCGTTGTTGAGTTGTGAGCGTGTGTTTGTGTGGCATGTTTGCCTTGCATGTCTTTCTCGCAAACTCTTTTCTCGTGTTGAACCTTGCTTGCATTGGTTTGGTTGTGCTCGTGAGACTTACCTATAATATGGTGTAAGACCTATACACTCTATCGCATCTTATTGAGCATATGTTATCTTGTGCTATTTATGTTATGCTCATATTTACTATCTTGCTTAGTGTTAGCCTTATTATTGCAAGATATGTATTGTCTATAAAATATATGGGGAGTGTTGATCCTAGTATGTGCGCTGTGCGGTCCAAAGCACTTATCTAGATAGCACACATCTAGAGGGAGCCCGTCTATATTTTAGAGATGAGGGGTTTGCTTATGTCCTATATTTTCCCCTTTGTGCAAATCCCGTATTGTCATCAATCCACCAAAAAAGGGGAGATTGTAAGGGCATATTTATCCCTAAGGTGTTTTGGTGATTTATGACAATGCCTTTGCGGACTAATCGTGTGCCTTGAGTATTTCAGACGTTTCATCACTAGGCACAAGACGGTTTTTGTCCCCCTCGAAGACTGTTGAAGACGGCGTTTGTCTACGTTTCTTTTCGGTGGTTTTGAGTCGTAGGAAAGCCGTACTATTAAGAGGGGGTCCGCATTGGTGAGGCTAGGGTGGAATCAACACATACACATCCCTTGTGCACCCTCTGAGCTTTTCCGTTTCGTTGAAGGCTCCCTTGCTGCCTTCTCCCTGTGGTCTGGTCCTAGCGGCAGTACTGCGAACCCCAGCGGTAGTACCGCTCGAGAGCTACAAGCGGCAGTACCGCGAACCCCAGCGGTAGTACCGCTTGGAGCTCGTAGCCGTAGTACCGCTGCGGCTCCGTGCTCCTACCGCCTCGACTCGAGGTTTCTCCTCTCGTGTCGGGTTTTGCGGCACTAGCTGCGGCAATAGGGGCGGTAGTACCGCTCTTAGGCGGTAGTACCGTTCTTACCACCGCGGTAGTACCGCCCTGGGTCCAGGTCCTGCTCTGCTCCCCGCTCCCGTCCTTCTGCGCGGCAGTACCACGAGGTGGAACGGTAGTACCGCTGGCCACAATAGTAGTACCGCCTACCCCTGCGGTAGTACCGCCCTGTGTGGGGCTGAGCGAGGATAACGGTTGGTTTGTCTTCCCCCCTTATAAAAGGAGGTCTTCTTTTCCAAGTTGACTTACCTCTTTTCCCCAAGCTCCATTGTTGCTTCAAAGCTCATTTCTGCCCGATCTCTCTCCCTACGCAATCAAACTTGTTGATTTTCTAGGGATTGGTTGAGAAGGCCCAGATCTACACTTCCCACCAAGAGAAATTTGATTCCCCCCGCTCATCCCTTGCGGATCTTATCACTCTTGGGTGTTTGAGCACCCTAGACATTTGAGGTCACCTCGGAGCCATATTCCATTGTGGTGAAGCTCCGTGGTTTCGTTGGGAGCCTCCAATTCGGTTGTGGAGAGAGCCCCAACCTTGTTTGTAAAGGTCCGGTCGCCACCTCCAAGGGCACCAATAGTGGAATCACGGCATCTCGCATCGTGTGAGGGTGTAAGGAGAATACGGTGGCCCTGATGGCTTCTTGGGGAGCATTGTGCCTCCACACCGCTCCAACGGAGACGTACTTCCCCTCAAAAGGAAGGAACTTCGGTAACACATCATCGTCTTCACTGGCTCCACTCTTGGTTATCTCGTGCCTTTACTCGTGCAAGCTTTTGTGTTGTATCCTTAGCTTGCTTGTGTACTTTTTGTTGTTGTATCATATAGGTTGCTCACCTCGTTGCATATCTAGACAACCTACTTTGATGCAAAGTTTAAATTGGTAAAGAAAAGTTAAAAATTGTTAGTTGCCTATCCCCCCCCCCTCTTTAGTCAACTATATCGATCCTTTCACACGCGATAATCCTCCTAGCGCAGCCACCTTGGGACAGGGAAGGATGGATCAAGGTTTCTTCTACTTCTAATTTAATCCCCATTTGTGCTCTACTTGATGATGCATGGATGCGAATTTTGGATAGCTAGGTTGTTGGCATGTGGTATTCTTTAGATGATGCAAACTGCGTTCTGTTATAGAAATATGGTACATCATGACAGTCGCCATGATAATGCATAATATGATCATTGAGCATAATTGTAGGAAAGATCTAGATTATTTTTCTCTATGAATCGATGCAAAAGTCTATACAACCATGTAGAAGGGAAGACTGATTCCGACGCTTTCTTGAAGTTTACCACGACATTCAAAATTCGAATACCCATGGAGATCTCTTCAATGAGTGGTGGGCATGGAATGGGCAACAAAATCTCTAGTTTTACGACTTTATCCCTATGTTTCATGCATGTGTGATGAACTTTGTGTTATGTTTGACGAATAAATTGTGTTGAATTAGATGTTGTGGACTGATGAACTATGTAATAAGTGCTATTTGTGTTATGTTTGTTTTTGAGTTTATTTGAGATGAGTTAGATATTTTTTTTTTGTTGAACTTGTTTTAATAGTTGAAGAAGCCCAATGTTTTTGGGCACCAGTTTTACATCATCTGTTACAATAGAAAAATTTCTGGTGCCCTGAAACCTTCACTGTCCTGCCTAAAACATTTTTTGACATCAACTTTTACATCAGAGATGCTTTCTGCGAGAAGCAAGTTTTATTGTTAGGGAGTGTTTGTTTCCAGGGACTTTTTTGTGTATGGACTAAAAAAAAGTCCCTTTTAGAGACTTTTTTACCAAACAGGAGGGACTTTTTAAGGACTAAACTAGACATTTGGGACTAAATGAAGAAGACTCTCAAGGAGAGTCTTCTTGAGATTTTTTGGGACTTTTCCAACAATGCCCCTCCATGCACCCATTGGCCCGCTACCCTATGATGTTGTTTGATTGTTATTTTTCTATATATTAGGGGCAACATGGTCATTTAATAACCTTTAGGAAGGGATTAGGGATTTTTTAGTCTCTGGAAACAAACAGAGAGAGACTTTTTAGGAACTAGGGACTTTTTAGCTGGGACTAAAAACAGTCTTAAGACTAGAGAACCAAACACCACCTTAGTCTAGTGAGAAGTAAGTAGTGAGAACTATCCGGTTAATATTTTGGAGGAAAAGAACTATCCAGTCAAATGCCAGATGTCACGCCTTGAGCAAGGCCGGGGAAGGAGAATGTTTTTTTCTTTTCTTTTTTCAAACTAAGAAGGAGCGGTTTATTTCAAAAAAAAAAGAGCAGTCAGTGGGTGTGCCAAGCCCACGAACGGACAACGGACTCGGCCCACTGAGCACTGGGGGGAGGCGGGTGGACCCCACGCTGCCACGCACCCGGCCGCGCTTTGAGATCCGGGCGCGCGGGTTCCGTGCGCGATCGGACGGCGGGGCGAGGTCCTGGAGGCCACACAAAGCGCACCCAAGGCGCCGCCCCCATTTCTCCTCCACCCCCCATCCCCATCTCGCTCTCGCGGCCGAGAGATCGAATCGGAGAAGAAGGAGCGGAGAGGCCTCTGCTGCCCTAGCTCCGCCGCCCCCGCACCGGCCATGGCGCTCGCCGCTCGCCTCGTATCCCGCTCCCGACAGGTTCGTCCGCGCGCCCGGCTCCCTCCCTCCCTCCCCTCCTGTAACCCTAGTAGCTTTTCGGTAGATCTGATCCGGCGCGCGTGCGCCGCGGCCCGTCTGATTCGGTTTGCCCGGGATCTCGGTCGCGCCGGTGAGATTTTTAGTCGGTCGTCGATCGGGGTGCTGGGAGTGATTGGGGTCTCTCTTCGATTTGGTTGGATCAATTGATTCGTTGCGGTGAGATCCTCTCGGTTAGGAGGGGAACCGTTGCAGATCGCGGGGCACAGGGGATTGGAGTCGGGCCCGCCAGGGAACAGCTCTAGATCTTTCTGCGCCAATGCAATTCCCCATTTCGGCTCCCTCCTTGATCCGTAGTCATGTGTCCTCATACCGACCGAAGGAAGCCATCTAGACTGCCATGTGGCAAGCTCAGAAATAGAAATGCTAATAATCATGGTTGCGTCCTCTTAGTCGCCTGTTTCTCGGGCTGTGCATGTTTTATGCTGGTGTGTGGGTGGTGGGTTTATCGTTGAACTTTGGTTTCCTCTTGTCTGAGCCGTGCATGTCTTTGGCTCGTGTGTGGATAGCGAGTGATTTATCATTGAGCTTCAGACCACAGCAGTGTAGACTGGCACTGGTTTTGTTTAATCCGGATGGTGTTGTGGTTAAGACTGTTAGTCCATGGTCTGTGTAGTTCTAGAATGGAGCTATTTGATGTCTGAACATTTCGTTTGTGATGTCTCTGTCAAATTCACACTCTGTGTATGCTGATCAGTTTGTCGATTAATGTTCGTGCAGTTATATTCTGTCCAAGCTGCTTTGGCCAATGGAGGCGTCACTCAAGTCCGCTCATTTGCCAAGGAGGCAGCTCCTGTCAGCGGAGATGGTATGCATTTTAATCTTTTGCTGCATTTATGTGAAATTAACATCTTGCTATTGTATGCACAGGTATTCTGTGCATGTTCCGTAGTAGTGTTGGTTCTGAAAAAAATACTTTCAAATTATAACTGATCTAGTTTTGACGCAAGAATTCACATCAAGATTTGAGTTTGTTGTGATCGGCACTGTTTCCTGGCTTGCTGTGATATTTTAATTGGTGACTGCTGAGTGATGCTACATCACTAAATATCACTTTGTGACAAGACTGAAATGAAGCATACAGGACATGGAATTTTAACCTAATTAAATGCTGGAGCTAACTTCTATGTCTTGAATATTTCTCTCATGATTAGCTGCGCCCTTAATGATGGATCAATCAGTATTATCTCTTTCCCTGCATATGCAGCTTATTCATTCATTTTGATTTTCATCGAATTTGTTAGTTTTGCATTTTCTTTGTAAGTTCTATGGCAACAATGTTCCTAGTACTGCTTCTGTTGTTTCTGGATTTATTTGTTTAAATTATTGTGTAATAGTCCTAATTTCATTGTTCCCATGTTGTACAGACCTATTGAAGGGCATCTTTTTTGAGGTGAAGAAAAAGTTTGAGACCGCACTTGGGGTCCTTAAGAAGGAGAAGATCACGATAGACCCAGATGACCCAACAGCAGTTGCTAACTATGCCCAAGTCATGAGGACTGTAAGAGAAAAGTACGGAAATCTACAGGCTTTTGCATTGCATGTTTTCATGATCATTGAGTTTGTTACTTCCTATTGTTTTTTCTTCACTTTTGTGCTCTGTTGCACACAGTTCTCTAGGGCCGGTGTTTGGTACTTTATTTGCTGGATTGCCCCCTCTATAATCTGGTCCATGTTCTGCAACTAGAACTTGGATTTACTGAACCCTATTGTCCAATATTTCAGTATCAATATGGAAACAAGCATTTCACATTTATATTACTTGCTGACTGAATAGAATTGATAAGCATGTGAAGGTTCAATTTTTCTGGGTGTAAGATGTATTTCTCTGAAATTAAGGAAGTTTTACGTGCACATTTTAATGCCCTCTTTGACTACAAGGCTTTGTTTTCTGCAATTAACCTGATTGGACATAAAACATTTGCTCAATGGATTTCATGTGAATCTGCCATCTCAAACAAGCACTCTTCTTCTATGCTTGAATTGTCTTCCTTTATCTTATTTTAAATCATTTGAGATTATTGTCAATGACCTGATCGCCACTACTCATTGTCTAAATGCAGGGCAGATCTTCTTTCCGATCCTCAGAGAATTAAACATACTATTGAGACTTTCACGAAGGGCATCCCTGATGCAAGGACGTACTTGGATACCCTTCAGCAGCTCAGGAAAAAGTATGGCTATTACCCAATTAGCATAGGCTGTTTATTCCTATGCTCTCAGAAATCCTTATGCTTGACATGAATATTTGCTCAATGAACGTTTATTTTATTTTATACAGGAGTGGTCTCATAGATGATATGGGTATTGAGGATATGATGATGGAAGCTCTTGAGAAAGTTGAGAAGGATATTAAGAAGCCTCTTCTGAGGAGTGACAAGAAGAACATGGGTCTCCTCTTGGCAGAGTTTGACAAGATAAACAAAAAGTATGTACATATGTGCATCTTCTACTTATGATGGTAGTATCCATTCAGTTTCAATTGCAATATGGTCATTGATAATTTCATGGAGATACATCTGCTGATGACCGGAAACTCTGGATCATCTGCAGTTGCTATTGCCTTAGTAGCATTTACACATTGAATGAGGTTGATATTTCCCTTAAGAAGAGAAATGCATCCCATTGTTGATTTTCATCAGGAGATGCCATTGATAGTTCATGTATATGCATATGCTGATGACCTGAGAATCTGGGTCATCTGTGGTTGCTATTACCTTTTAGCAGCACTTCTTTAACAACTTTTAACCTAGACGCTGAACGAGTTTGACATTTCGCCTGGGAAAAGGAATGCACCCCATTGTTGATTTGCTACAGGAGTTTTTTTATTCATACTGCAAAACAGTTAAGATGATGCCATGGCCAACTGTTGTTTGTTCCTTAGTGTTGGGGGTCTGGATCTGTTGCAACATCTGCTGTTTAGTCCTGTTAAGTGCATACATGTTTTAGCTTGACTAGCATGTGTTTTATATGTTTCTTCTCTTGTCTTTGGAAATTGAAATAGGCTTGGCATTCGGAAGGAGGATCTTCCCAAGATTGAGGAAAATCTTGAAATGGAACTTGCCAAAGCTGAGCTGACGGAACTTAAGAAGGAAGTTGTTGAAGCAATGGAGGGTCAACTAAAGAGGTACGCCTCTTCAACTCATACACCACTATTTGCTTTAGTGGTACCTCAATTCTTTCAAGGCTTTTAATTGGAAAGCTAGAAATCTCTTGAGGCAAAGTTTCAATATAAAGTTGTCTGATTATCAGTTAGCTGACTAGTAAAGCACTCAAGTCGTCATAAAGTTTCATGAATTTTATATATGCTGTATGTATCTCTTCTTTGCTAACAAGTTAGCGATTCACTGGCATAATTTGCCTCCAGGGAGGAGTTTAAAGATGAGGCGATGCCTGACGTCAGGAAGTTGGACATTAGAAACTTCCTCTAGGTCCCTGATTGATGATAACCCTTGGGGTGACCGATCTGTGATTTTTCTTTTCAAGTGACGGCAGGTGCTGTAAGCCACACCGAATGGATGTTATTGTTGCTTTTTGTAATAAAACTGCACCGAGAATACGACGACAGTCAACCGATGAGTTGCGTTGCTTGGTTACCTTCCGGCGCTGAGAGTTTTGTTTCTTAGGCTGGCAACGTGAACATCAAGCGTTGCTGAATATGTGCCTGCGGCTGCTGTTGTATGTAGTAGCCACACATTATAATTATATGGGATGTTCCATTGTCTTGTTCACCAGGTTATGAGGCTTTGGCCATGGTTTTAACTGCAGTTTCGATTTTCATTGACATGTGATACCTCGACTTGAAATACTATTTCCATAGCTATAGCTAGGGGAAGTATCTACCATCGATCAAATGCTTGGAAGAACCTACGATTAATTATGGTTGTCACTGTTATTACATGTAGCATTGCACTTAACATGACCCTGCGATTGGAGTATCATGTCATTTATAGCCAACGTTTCTCTATAAATGTACATATGCACACTCTATCTTTATGAGCAACTTCAATCGGAAGGCGTGAAATAAATATAGGAAGATGTGACCACCAATGTCTAGGATTTAATCCTGATGGGTTGGTTGTACCACAAAAAACCTAACCATCCAAGCTATGCTCACTTCGCTAGCTAATATAAGACAAGCCACAATGGGCAGTAACATGCTCATGTGAGTAGTCTATGTTACTACCTCTATAGTGGGTAGTAACATATGTGTGGTAACATGCAACATTTCATTTATTAGGTTGTAGATACATCTTGCCTTGATATGTGTGATGTTACTCATACTAGTACTCCCTCCGTTCCATAATAGATGACCCAACTTTGTACTAAGGTTAGTACAAAGTTGGGTCATCTATTATGGAACGGAGGGAGTAGTAACTATACCATTTTCATCTCTTTTTTCATTTATTACAATGCCACATCATTTATTTAACCTAGATATGTGTGATGTTACTATCTATGTTACTCCCACTGTGGGTAGTCTAATAGCCAATATGTATAGTAGTTGACTATAAGGAAGTACTAATTTATTAACATATGACCAATCTTTCACTCTCAGAGAACTTATTGGAGTCGTGCTGAAGCCGGCAGTGCATCTACAGTCCACTTCTCTTCTCTCTTTCAACTTAGCAAAAACATAATATTTAAATTCTTATAGCCGTTTACGTCACCTTATTATACTTGCTCTTAGTGGTTATCCTAGCATAGCATGGTTGATTTCCAATAGTATGCATTTATAGCTTTTTGTTTTCTGAGGTCAATATGCATTTATAGTTGGTAGGTGTGTGTATGCAGTATCTTCATTTTTATTAGGAAAATCACAACATGCATTTACACTAGATTTGCGTTCTAACCTGAAAATCTTCAAAATAGATTGGTTGTTCTTTCCTACATATCATTTTGATATAATTGTTTAAGCATCACAATCGAACAGATTTACTCACAAAAATCCTTGCCAACTTTTACATTTGAACTGTTTAGCATTTGTAAAAGATTTTTTTGGCAAAGGGTAGTACACCAAAGGTAGTTTCTCGAAGGGAAATGAGATGACCTCAATTGCCATTTTTGAACTCATGAGCAAAGTAAATTTGTTTGAGAAGGCTCTCTTAGCTAGAGCCTGAGCAAAGTGATTCTAGGGCCTAGGACTGTGGAGCACTTGGAGGAGCCGAGACAAGAAATAATGTCATAATTTAACAAGAAGATTCCTTGATTCCGCAGCGTCGACCAAAGTCCTGCAATTAGAATAGAAAGAAGCAAAACTGCAGCCCAATGCATTGGTTGCCGAGGTAGGAAGTAAGGCCATCGCTTCAGCCTGCAAAACATATTGCACATTTGTTGCCGCTGCATGAATGCATATGGTGTGCTTGGTGCGTGTATTGTTGAGATATACTTCGAAGGAGGCTTCATTCTCAGCCAACGAAAGGTTGCGTCCACATATGCTACAGTACCTGTAGATTAGATTGTATATGCATAGTTGTATTTAGGAGAGAATAATAATTGTTATTTTCATGAGATATATTCCTTTCCCTCTTCTCCTCTATTAAACCCGCAGTAAGTATTGTGTATGTATCATGGAGAACTTGCATGGGACTCCTTTTCTTTTATTGAAATGGAGATAATTTTTGGCTCTCCATATGTTCCAAAGAACAGTGAAAACAATATCTAGTTTTAACTCATATTGCTGAGAAGACACGATCATTTGAATGATATCAACAAAATATGAATTGGAGTTCAGCATATCAGTTTTGAGGTCAAATTTAAACCAGATTGATCTAGAGAAATTGCATTGAAAGAAAAGGTTAATATCAGATTCTATTTAACTAGATCTACAACATTCTCTGTTGGTATGATTAGAATACCTAGAAGATCTTAATCATATTGCAACAACTCTCCTAATAAGCCTCCAAGCAAAAGTTTTGACCCTAGGGGCCATGGTTTTGTTTTTCGCAGCATGATTGAGGATAACACTTTCTTAATCCGAAGTAAGAGCTTGTCTTCACAAAGACCTATCTTGGATCACCTACACAAAAGTTATGTATGCACTTTTTCTTGTACATTCTGAATTAGGAGTGTGAGTCCAACAAATGGCATCTTCAAGATTAACCTTGATAACTAGAGTATTCAAAATTTCATTGTTAACAAAATCATCAACACAAGCACTAATTTTTTCTTCATCCCTTATGTGTCGTCGTTATGCACTTCTTCCCTCACCACCATTCCTTATGGATGTACCATCTTCCTCCTATCTAGACTCCGCATCGGGGACCACCTCAAAGGGGAGAATTTAAGTATTCAATTCTGGTAATCACTAGAGTTGAAAGTTGTATTTTGAATCAGATCTCACCTACTCCCATGCAAAACGATGGATTCAGGGGGTTCATCGGACGAGGAGTATGGACAGGTATAGCTTGATGAAATGATTCAAAATGACGAGAAAGCCGAGATATCATGATCATGAGCATCCAACAGAAAATGGACTGGGAGGTGGAGCGCATTCTCAACTTTAAGGGTTCAATCAAAGGGAGGGAGTGGAGGCACTTGATCCCTACTTCAAGCTCACCAGGGATTGTTGCAGACAACTATCATTCTCTACTAAGCAGAAATGCACGGTTGCTCGGACGATGCTTCCATTCGGTACCGCCGCTGATGCCGTTTGTAAGATGGTTTGGATGGGGAAGGGCATATGCCTAAAGACCACGGTCAAGTTTGCTCGCACCGTGGTGCATGTGTTTGTACTAGAGTATACGAGAGAACTAAATGTGTAGGATATAGGAAAGTTGTTGGCTATTCGGAAGGCAAGAGGTTTTCAGGTATGCTCGGTTCAAATTGCATGTAATTGGCAATGGAAGAACCGCCCTAAAGGTTTGAGCGGGACGTATCAAGATCACACCAAAGAGGCCACCATCATCACATTGAAAGCAATGGCATCACATGACTTATGGATTTGGCATGTTTTTTTTTTTGAAAAACCCATGTAGTAATTAATTAAAAGATCGAGTACAATCGTTCATTACAACATTCGCTACGCAGGGCGGAAAACTATTACATAGAAGGCCACCCGACCTATTATCAAAACTAAACTTAGTTATCTGATGAGCCACCTCGTTTGCATGTCTTTTGATCTTCACCACCTTAACATTTGGAAGAAGCTTGGTGAGGGCTAAGGCTTCCTTCTTGAGATCCACCAGAGCTGATCTATCAAGGTTATCATGTGGAAGAAAAGAAAACACAAAAGGGCAGTCTGTTTCCAAAACAACAGGCTTATGGAGAGTGATATCGATATATAGTCCCGCTAGACATGCCCTGAGTTCCACTTCATCAACACTAGTACACGAACCAATATAATCCCAAGAGGAAACGACAACTTTACCAACCAAATTCCTGGCAATATCTCCCACACTCGCAACACAAATGATCTCCACAAAACTAGCATCCACGTTGATC